AATTTTATTTATTTGACACAACTCAAAAAAGTATTTCATAGACTAATTACACTGAATAGAGCCGCTACGATATTTTTTACTGGTTAGTCGGTATAAAAATAAACAAATGAAGTCAATGAAACCGTGTCAAGTAGAACGAATTATATTACAAAGAAAATGTAAGTGTGTCCAACTGAATTGAGTGGTTAGGGATGCTGCTCCATGTTACGAGACTGTTTCAAGTGGAAAAACTTGTTAATGCCGCAATTCTGAGTGGCCTCGGGGCAAGCCTACCCGTCCGGACCGCTGGGGTTACGTTTATATATATTAAGAAAATAATATTTAGCCAGATTTAGTTTTAAATGTTAGAACAGAATACGGATATCTTGTCATTGTCCTTTTAAATTACCTTAAAATTCCTAACATAAGCAATACGCTTTGCTCTAGTTCGAATTTCTAAAGGACCAACTTTTGGAAAATGTTATAATATTATATGCAGTGCGTGTCTACATCAGTGTAATTAAAATTGAATTGCATCGTCGAGACTGTAGAGGGGTACCAAATAGGCCGGGTCAAAAAGTTGTAAGCTGTGAAGAGCGATCTAGATGCCACGCCACGCGTCCCGCGCTCGTAATTATGTGCCGAGATTTAGGGATGCCGCCACGAATTGACCCAGATCTAAATAATCCCCTTGACGACTTCTACAACAAAGGATTGTTCTATCTTGTTACATACGGTAGGGATTTTGTTCGACCAAAACCTTAAATATAAACAGTCAAGTAATTATCATGGGCAAGATAAAAATCTAACGTACTTACACCACCCGTGTGCTTCTTCTACAATTGCTGTAATGGTTGTTGAAGGTCAGATTTATTGATTACGCGAAATCATGTTTAATAATTTCACAGAAATTGTTGTATGTCCATTTCGTAAGAAAGTATTTCTTGATTTTAATTTTATGGTTAACATTGGGGGCGTTGATATCTCTGTCTCAGTAAAGTGTCTACTTGAAGATTATCAGAAAAAAATAACATTATCCTTGAGGTGTAGTCTAGACTAGCGAGACGGTAGTTATAAAGGGTGAAGGCCAAGATTGCGTAAGTCAGAGAGATTTGAGGCACATAACGCAAGGGCTGGCTTTGAAATTATATCAATCCTGTATTCAGCGCAGGTTGGAGAGCCAGTTATAACCAATTAGGACGTTTAATCCAACATACGATGGTACGTTGGATGGTAGCGTTAACGAAAATTGCCGCGTTGCCCATGCAATTAAATTGAAATTCGTTTCGGTTCTTCCTATATCCAGATTTTCGTTTGTACCGCTTTACGCTGTTTAATTAAACTTTGTAAAATTTTTCGAACAACCACAATTAAATGTTTGAACTGTTAAATATTTTATCCCAACGTTATGTAGCTGAGCCGAATTTTGGGGCTTCGAGTGGCAACTTCGATGAATGTTAAATTTGTAAAATCTATTTTGGGATAAAGTTGTTTCGATTAATAGTACCTACCCTGACTGAATGAGTCCCTTTATTAGAAGTAATAATTTACCTACGTAAGACGTAGAGTCACTATAAAGGTAAGTTTTTACTTTTTGTTGAAACGCGTATACGCACATTTTAAACCATTTCTACCAAATAACATTTTATCTATTTTCCTTACAAATTGCCGATGTCAATGAAAAAATGATTTTAGGCCCAGTATAAAGAAAAGCGACGCCAGACCAACCTAGGCTAGGAAGCCAATACAGCTGACGTTATCAGATCTGGTTCGATTGAAATACGTGACGTTACTCCCAATTCGCTACCTCACACTCCACGCCACGAAAATAGTTCGAACCTAGTATGTGTTGCTCTATTTAGTAGAACATGTGAAATTGTGGTTTTCATTGAAAATATCTAGCGAACTTACAAGTTATTTTTGATACTTTGATACATTCGTGCTTGTTTCTTGGTTCGAGTTTGACTTCGAAAACTGAGACATTTCTTGAACAGAAACATTAATTATTGTAGTCTTCGAATTTATTTTTAGCGACCGTCGCCAAATGGAAAAAAATGAATCCTTATTTGTATTTGAATCATTTTTTATTGGAAAGCACGTGTGTGTGTGTGTGTTATTTAGTAATCTGTAAATATCCAATAATCATGAACATTCATGATTTTTAAACATAAAGACCTTAGAGGTTTATATCATATATTCTATCGTCCAAAATGGATTCACATTTCGGTATGCCTTTTATGCTTTTGCATAGCTTATAATGAACTATGAACTAAAGTGGTCGTTCGTCCATAGCCCTTTTCTGAGCCACTGGCGACCATGACCGTGTCTGTTCGAAATTAACTCTCTGGCCCTGGCTACTTACTGTTACGACGCGACTGGGATGAAACCCTGCATAAATTGTAAATCAGCTTTACTCCTACCTCTATTCCATCTAATATTTCGAAAATGTATCATGTAGAATTTCAACGTAAAATGTATATTTTTATAGGATTCTCTGAATTAGAAGAATGTCGGTCCATGACATTCAAGTCGTAAATATCTTTGAAGATTTTTGTTGTGTTAAAATAATTCAGAATACAGAGCAGATATAAGACTTGAAAAACCTTGAATTCGGTATCTTATCATATGACAAGAGCATGATAATGTCCTTAGCCGGTGTTCTCAAGTTGATAAAATTTGAGTAATGCAAATGACATGAATTTACGAATAATATTATTGTGGTAGCGTTTTCTCGTAATATATTTCGCAGTCCACTTAACTCAATTGACACTAAACCTAATTAAACATGCTAAATTAATACGGATACGAGTGAATTTGATTCTCCGCCGCGTACGGATTGCTCATAATCATTGTAAACAATTGACTGTTTCCTGCGCTATTAAATCAGGATAACTGCACGTACCTATAACGAGCGGTACAAATGTGTACAATTACGTTTCGTATCGTAAATACGATTCCTTTTTATGCTCGGATGCGTATGAACTCGGAACGACGACGCTGTTTGTAGGCGTTGCGAGATGAGGTGTCAATTATTACGCTGAGTTACACCGTACACGTGTTGTCGCTGTATCCCGTGCCGATGTCATAAGGTCAGGCTATATATTTTTCTATAAACGTTTCACTAGTTTAAAGGTTAAATGTTGAGCTCTAACATTAAAACTACTAGGTATTTTTAGCTCGTGCGATGTAGTTTACGTTTCGTACCAATTAAATCCTTTCCAGCCATATTTATCTATATTAATTGATCTGTCTGTATCTCTCTGTGTTATTAGCTTATTAAAGAGGTTTTTAACACGCTTTTATTAGGTCGATCCCTGACATCTCTCATTAGGTATTGCGAGATCGAGCGAACCTTCATTTCTCCTGTCCAAGAGGTGTGTTTAGTTTTTACAACTATGAATTTATTGTAAGATGGATAGACATAAAATAATAGGTGTTATAAACACCGAAAGTATTGTATAACATATGCGATGCAAACAGACATAATAGGAATCTGCACCATTCATGTTGCGTCAGTAAAATTAGCACCAGAATCCTAGATACCTTAATTTATGATTTAAAAAAATGTACAAAACGATAACCAAATCCCTGTTATTAAACTTGACTTAATTACTTCAGTGAGTGTTACAGTGACCTATATCGACGCTGTCGACATAGCACGACCCGACCCCTGACTCTGACCGCCATTGCCACCTCCGTTCACGCTTTGTTGTCATAAAAAGGGAAAATTATATTTTGTTGATTTCAGAAGATAACAAAGGTTTTGCTAAGGTACAATGGTTTCAACTCACCTTGTGACCGAAGTGTTTGTTTCGAGTGATACAAATAAAACCTTCGTCAAACTCGTATTTTATAAGTTGACAAGTTAGATGAACACAATTAAACATTATATTTCAATTATACTCGATTCCGTGGAATTGAATAAATTTTATTGCTGGTGTAGGCAAATCTTAGTATCAGTGAAAGTGAAACAGAGCTCTGATCACCTACATAGTTGCATTATTCCCTCTGGGGTACAGTGGCGCATCGCGCATCACTAGGCCCTTGTGTGAATACACGGACTGTCCGCACAAATTGAATAATGGCTAGCCCGACTCTACTAAGTGGATTCTATTTTGCTTTTCGTGTACATCTGATGTCGACCCCTGCTTACGTCACGACTAATACAAACCATGTTTAGCCTCCTGTCTCATTTATTATTCCTTTGGTTTTGTATTTCAGAGTTTCATACACAATTTCATTAGCGACGTTATAATACGTAGCCTTTTGTGGAGGAGTCGAGTTGATCGCATTAAGAATTAATAGGAAAGGCGACAAGTACTGTTTCTAGTTATGACTCATTGTCCTGGACAAAGTGGTGAATAATTATTAGGGACACGTTGTGTGATCTAAAATCGACACAATAGTTACTAGTATTGGAAAGGAAACCCCTTTTACAATATTGAATATCCAACCATTATTTGATTTGAAATGTAATCCGAGTAATGTGCACGAAGCAATATCATTTGTTAGGAAAGTACACAAACGGGTATTGTAGACTAAAAACATTGCATGCTTTACTCCCTAAATTATACGGCTCTTCCATTCTACGAGTGTAATTCTCGAGTAACTACATTTTACCGTTTCAAAAATAAAATGTACCTAAAGAACTCGTCAGTTTAAAAGTCCTGAGAACTCAACATGTGGCACCACTTCTCACGTCATCTTGTGTTACAAGTGCAACGTGGAAAGATGGAGTGTCGACCGTCCACGACACCTAGCGGCTCCTTATTTCTTCTTACTCTGCGACTGCTAAAGTGTAATTACAATTAACTAACGTCTTAATGTAATAACGATTAATTGCATTAAGCCCGACCGTAGTTTCGCTCATGCTCAATTAGTTAGAACACTGAATGACATATGAGCAGAATAATATTATCTCTTCCTATAACACCTATGTATTTGATAAGTTACTTGTTCCTTTTGTGTTGTTTAGCTTTTTGAGTATTTTATTAACTTTATTGTTTTTCTTTTGTATCCAGGCGCAAAGCGACGATGACGATGTCGGGCCCGACGACGTCAACGTCGCCGTCGAAGGGGGCTTTATGGACGAATTCTTCAGTGAGGTAAGTGTCTTTTGTTTTAACACCGCACCGACCCGTAATCCACTTAATAGACTTTAATTAACCCAGAGCCACAGCTCTGTAACTCGCTGTTTAGTACGAACATTATATTCTGAAGGCTTTGTTAATTACAGTTGTAGTGTAAATTCCTCAGCTAGCTTGGTTACTCGGGCTATTTTTAATAATAGTTCAAAGGAATTGGAGCTGGAAGTTGGACAGTGATAATAGCACTTACTAAATCACTTTCATATTTAAAAAATATTGGTGCTTTGGATGCGGCTGAGTTTCTCTTTGAAGAAACATTTGCAATGTTTGACTCGTACAGAACACATGAAACCTGTTTTAAAATTTGTGTTCACCGACGTTAACATGACGTCATGGTGCCTAGCAAGAGTGCTCTAAGAATGTTCGCAATTCAACATTATCGAACATATCTCGATTAAGTATAATGTGTATAGTTACGTAGAGACTAGAGATTAATCTTAAGGAGTATGATTCATACGTGACTCCATTGTGACTAAGGTTTACGAACGCGTCAGATTTGTCGTTTCCAGCGCTAGCTCCGGTAATCACCATAATGAACTCGTGATAATATGATTCATTTCCTCTAACATCTGCTGCTAACATTCCTTCAAATCATCTTCTGCAGACTAGGTGTATAGGATTTTTCTTGTCTATATAGAATTCAATAACCATAACCATATATTATAAAGTCAAGAAAGAATAACGTTCCCTTTTTGCTGCGAGATTTAGCGCTGATTTGGCGCTAGCGAACTGGATTAAATATTTCGATAAGAATTGTTCTCTCTTTACTGAGACTAATATGACGTCATACCTGTGATGCTTCCATAGACACAGCATCAATTCCATTTTGCAAGCTCCACTGACACGCGGCCATTCTGTCTGCCCGAGTTTTCCAATCAGCATAGTTGTACAAAAGTTTCAGCGTTCCGTCCCTATTGTTTTCGCGTCGTGCACGTAAGCGGTGCGCTGTTTGTTTTACTTGGCTATATTACGTTATCGCGTGTCGCCATAGCTATTTAATTATGTCTACCCACATACCTATTTGGTATTCTGTACTTGACGAACGTGTAATGTCCCTCATCCGGATTCTCCGAATAATATATTTCGAAAAATGTCTTTGTACGCCAAAGAGCTTGTTAGCGAATGCTTATTTATTCATTTACACGCTTTGAATGTAGATGTGTTGTTATAGGTCGTGGAAATGGAATATGTTTTTATTTATTTAACCATGATGACCAATTTAATAAAAGTGATATAAACTTTGCGATTAAACTTAGGTGATTATGAACCTTCAACAAGTTATTAAAAGAATTTCTTTAAGTTTCGTTGAGCTAGCAATTAGTACTACATGGGGGTGTGGAATGTAACCATGGCTTGGAGATAAAAGCATTCGCATGTACAAAGCCTAAGCCATGTAAATATACTTTAAAAGATCAATAATGTTACGTTATGGTACTTTATGACGTTATAATCGATTTAATGTCTGTCCTGTGTTTGAACTCTCTTTCGCATTATCAATTCGCGAAACTAATTAAAAAAAATCACATACATTTATTATGCCACGGTTTCGTACTGGTGCAATACTGATAGAAAATATCTCAAATATTTCATGGATGACACATAAATATTGTTCTTCAATCAAATTATCTCTTAAAAAAACCGCATTAAAATCCGTTAGGAAGTTTTAAAGATTTAAGCAAACATAGAAATAATAGGGGCTTTGTAAGCGAATTTGTTTTATACTGTGTAGTGATAAATTAATTATTTATGTTCCGTATTCTGTATGTTCCTTTAAATTTAGTCTTAAATTGCATGGGTAAATGCAAGACGCGTACTCACACGTTTGCCTGATTTTCGATCAACTGTTTAATTGGAGCTATCGGTCGGTGAATGCGTAATACAGTTTTTATCGATACTTAGATTCGTAGGATAAACCTTTGGCTCTAGGAAAATATGGAGAATATCGAAGTCCTAACGATTTAAATTTCCAAGAAATTGCTGGGGAAATACAGGCAATTGCTCAACTTAAACTTGGTTAGATAAGCACTGTAAGTAGTAACCGCCTCAGTAGAGACAATGCCTTGTACTTCTAAAATTAATATTTGATCGATCCTGTTAGTGCGAGTACGTTTTAGTATATTTATACTTTTTTAGTAAACTCATCTCTATTTTCATAAATAGACAGTTGAGCGAGCAGATATTTTAAGGCAAAAATATATTCTATATGAATGTAATTTTTTCAAACAATCTTTAGTACCATGTAAACAATATGTACGTTTTTTTAATAGGTATTTATATTTTTTGAGGTTGGGTTCACGCTAAGTGTAAACTGTACGTACTTTCCGGATAAATGGATGCGGTCATACCACTTTGTTAAATTGAATGTTAAAATATATTGTAAAAGTTTCCCACATCAGTTTGCTGAATAACAGTGTCTCTTTGGTTTTAGTATGTAGCATAATTAGTTTTTCTGTAGAAGGTTTTAGGTTACTTAAAAGTTTGGTGAGTCAGAGCATAGTTGTACCTACGAATGCGAGACAAATCTGTTTGTATTGCTGGGAAAATACACAAAGCTTTTGCCAAGTGACGCAGGACGCGTCACTGAGAAAGTCCAATAGTAGTAACATCAATATAAAATAGTATGTGTCACCCCTAAGACATTAAAATGTTGCTGACTCCGCCGGCCTGCTGCGGGCTCGTGAGTTCTTGACTTCCGATTGGAGCAGCGTAGCGTAGTGGTGTAGCTGTCGTAGCCGTAGCGCTACGGATTTCGATACGTACGTACGTACACATGACATCCAATTACACCATCCTCTCCGTTACATATTAACAGCTGTTTTAGTTACCTCCCGAAATTGTGAGTGGAGAAACTTGGAAAGTTACAACAAAGTTTGTACCTACTTAATACTTATAGCACACTCATAAAAGTTGGTTACTTTGTACAAAAAAGTTTCACTTGTTTCTTTGAAGTACATATTTTGTAGGGGTTGTTGAAAGGGGTTTTAATTCGTACAGCTCGGTTGAACTGTAACTGTACTGCCGTAGCTTACATAATCCTGTTTAATTCTGTGCCCGCAAACATGACCCGCTTCGGCACAGCTACCTCTATAAATAAAATTTCTATAGCTTTATAAATCTGCGAAGCGGCTCTGCACATTATATACCTATTATTTATGAGTACATAATACAGGATTATATATTGGGCGACAACCCCCGCAAGCCCTGCGTGGTGACTATAGATATGGACATTAACTCCCCAGCGAAGGGTCAATGTCCATCAAATTGCTATAAGCTGAATGGAACATAAGAGAATTTTTCACTTCGTTCGTTCCGTAACTGCTACGAAGTGTCCTTTTACCCTGAATAAACAACCCTTAACATTTTTTATAAATCACTACACATTTTATTCATATTTATAACTTACTTACGGCTTAGGGCGCTCGCTTATTATACCATGTAAGAGATCTCGGGTAATGGGAACTTATTAAAGGCAAAAAACAGTCACTGAATTTCAGTTAGGCATCAATTTTGTATAATAACACTCTTGGGATACGAGCTATGCGGCATTTTAAACCGTTATATTATAAAACTAATACAATATTCAGTAATTTGTATTTGATTGAATACAAAAACTATTTTGTTAGTGATGAATATTAAAGTTTATGAATAAAATATCTACTAAACAGTTACTGTAATGTTACTAATATGATTTAACAACAACATATTTTTAAAACATTTGAAATATCGTCTTTTGTCAGTAGATAGACAAATAAAAAAATATAGATTTCTCAACCACAACTTAGTATAAAATAAATTAGTTTTCTCTGACCTTATGTATGCTTAAATCTTTAAAACTAAACCACGGGTTTTGATGCGGTTTTTTTAATAGATAGTCATTGAAGAGGAAAATTAATATGTATAATAATATCCATTACGTAGTGGAGAAAATTGCACACGTTCGAAGCCAAGGCGGGTCGCTATTATAACAATGCTGTATAATCTGCCTTATTTTGCATTAGTTATAAGCTTTGGTGAAAGTTGTCATCTGATCGTAATCATGCTAAGTAGTAGAATTAGAGCGCGAGCCGCACGGGGCTTAAAGACTCTTAATAGGTCATGCCTGCAGCTAATTGGTAATCACTAAGCACTCCAAAGCTGCCAGGTAATTTTCCACAAACTCCCACATTTAAGCCTAACAAAGAAGCAAACCATTACTGCAATCGATATTATCGTGCAACTACTTACGATTAAACGGTGGGAACAGAACCTGTTGTGGAATTCTTATATTATTCGTTGTATATCACAGACATTAGCATTTCAAAACAATGCCATACTTAAAACGATTTGTGGAAATAATAAATATCAATAATCAGCTGGTCGACCCTACCGCAAAACACTTAACATTTCAGCTATCATTCAAGTTATAAAATTATCATATCAGTTTTTATCGTGACTTATTTCTGTGCCAAAAACGTATTTCCGTTCTGTTATATGATACCTAATATAATACTAATGGAAGCAATAAATGTCTTTCAGAACCTAGTATCAAAATGGTTTTAGAATGGTATAAAAATGCTAATGCTATATTCTCAACCGGCGTCGCCTCTCAATGAGGCAGTGGACTGCCCCAGGGAGATATCTAATTTTCCTTCCCGTCCTTAACTTACTCCCTGATACGGAATACAATAAAAAAATACGAAAATACGAGTCGTCGCCAGTTTTTATTCGTGACGCGAATTCTTCACGCGTTTTCATTTAATTCACAACACAACACACAAATGTGTCATAAATATTCAGGCTGTGCTTGGTATTCATCATAATCATACGATTCATTTACATGTTATTATGTGGGGATGAGGGATGTGTTATGTCGTGGACTAGTGGTAACCGGAACGAGGGATGCACTTAAATTAATTACGTCATAACCACATACTCATTTCACCACGTCTAGCAATTAATCGACACATGGAACGCTAATCATGGTAGTATAACTCGTTCTACTCATTTAGAAATGCATATTTAATAAGTGTCAACATCCTCTCAGCCATATTTTATGCATGCAGATAAAATGCTGGTCTTATAAAACGACGTCACTAGATATGGAAAGCTGAATAATCGTGACTCACAAATTTATTTAACCAAAACATCGATGAATTTGAAGATTTTATGCTGAGAACAAGGCTCTGAACCTCCCGTTCACGTTCCATTGCATTTCTACAGCAATAGCCTCGATAAATTCATTGAATATTGAGAAAGAAAAGTAATGTACTGTGAAGCGGAACTTTGAATTTTGGCATTGCTATTGTATTGGACTTTAAGTAATGTCAAAATAGAAACTGTTTTGTAATAAAAAAAGCCGGTTAATCAATGTCACTCGTGCTGTTGTAACCCTGATGTTCAACGTAAAGTTTTTGTAATTAAAACTAAAGTAGTTGGTAGCTTTCTGAAATGACGGTACACAACCGGGCTAATGAGTAAAACGCCTCGTATTAATACTAAAGCTAGCTGGAGCCTACATTGCGGTCCCATTTGCAACTCCATTTCAGTTTACATACATACTTCTAACTTGGGAATCTCGTAGAATTAATGGATCACGTTTTTACTTCAGTGGTGGCGGTGTTATAGATATTTGACAGACTCTTCATTAATTTACCTTCAGACTAGATATTTTTTTTATAAGTAAAATTTTCATATTCCGTTACCAATTTGAAGTCAGTTAAATATTCTAACAATTTATTGAGATGCCAGGTTTATTGTGATCACAGCTAGTCTAGACGGGTTTCGTTAAAATACGAATAACGTTTATTAAACAATGGTATCGTAGACTTCAGATTAATCGTTAAGTTGGCTATCGGCTGCTAGGTGAACGATATCGGTTATCGAGCTAATCTGATTAATTGGTGAGTCATGATATGAAGTGTCGCACGACCCGGGCACGGACGTTCTCCTATCGACTCAACCGCATTCTCGACCCTGAACCGAACATTTGGTTATCAATTCTACCCGACCCGATACAATGACCGATACATTGGGGGCAGCACTAGATCGTTTAATTCAAATTGAAGTATAACTCGCTTTGTCAATCAAAAACAATTCGCTTAAAATCTCTACGGATAAAGGAATGTAAGATTATAAACAAAGTTGCTTTAATAAAATAATGATGTGCTAGCAAAGCTAACGCAAGTAATTATTTAAATATTTTACCCATTTACCTTGATGCTATTGAATGTTTATCCTGAAAACAAACGTGTGCTTACATGTTATTCCAGTATTTACCTGTTGATATTTATTCATTTTCCTTCGGTCCAGTCACTCAATAATTTATTCTTTTGAATACGTTTAAGTGTTCCGATGATTCAGACTTGCCTATTGTTTTTATTGATTCAATCTTGATAAAATGTTTTCACAATGACTGGTGTAGTTTCATACGTCTACTACACTGTAGAATGTAGGTGTTAAGAATAAGAAATGGCAAACAGTTTTAATTTTAAAAGTCAACGTAGATTAACTAACCCTAAGTATTTGTTCAGTGGTTGGACCCCAGCCAGTAATCTCCCTAAGGAAAATTTAATGTTGAACATGGCTCGAAAAGCTATTTGAACCAATTAGTTAACAGCAGCTTAGTCCTGTTTTAAACCTTGTTTACTTTTTAATAACTGTTAATTGTCTAAACTTGACATTGCCCTTTTTTATTGCGTTCACCTTTTTTCTCTTAATTAATGGCGACGGGAAAGGGCGCCAAGTAATGTAGGCCAGCTAATTACGCTGGTTTTGTTTATTCAATTATTTACCGTCCCCTAAAGAAATCTTTTTCTTAATAATAATGTAATTTTCCTTTAAAACGGAACAGTTGGAGCTGAAGATATTTTTATTTTGTCATGATTTATTTGATTAAAAACAACTTTGTTTATTTGTAAGGTTTTAGAATGAATCTTAACGTTAATATATATGTTTGAATACTTCTTGCTTATATCTTCTTAATACTTGAAAAGTATTTGGTTAAGAATTTCTTCAGAATTAAATTATGTTCGCGATTGCAACGGATATACTCTTAGATAGGCAAAGTTTCTTTCATATCAATTAAGTATAATGGTCACCATTCGTCCTCTAAGTTTTTTAATATATAAAATATTTCTGTCTAGAATTGCTGGCCATAGTAGGTTAGGTCAGGTTGTATCAGCTGGCTTCGTGCCAGGAGAGCGAACGCCGCGCCGCTACGACTAGACTTGGAGACGTTCTTTAAGCCCGATACAGAGATAAACGGCGAACTGCACCGCTACAGAAAAAATAGCCTCATCGCTCCAACTTGATGAGTAATTAACTTTGTACTTAAAGATGGCTAGTCAGGCGAATTTATAGAAGTAAAGACTAAATTCTCCTAATAAATATCATAAATGTAAAAGTTTGTGAGAATGTATGGATGTATGTTTGGTATTCCTTAACGCATAAACAGCTAGACAGATTTGGTTAAAATTTGGTATGTAGATAGGTTAGGTTAGGATTAACATACAAGCTGCTTTTTATCATACCATGCGAGCGAAGCCGTGGACCGAAGTGTTGTGCTCTATTAAAGGTGAGAAAATGTTAAAATGAAACGTGAGCATAGTGTTGTATTACTTATTTATTTGCCTTGTGTGATTCATACTGTCCAGCGCTAGTTACTGATGAAATAATGAAACCGATGCTAAATATATAATATATTTGATGATTTATTTGCATATATGTAGTTCCGCGTTAGGTCTTTTGGTCCGTCCTTATTATCTACGCAAGTTGATAAAGAAAGTTTTTGTATCAGTCTGATAACTTATCACCACTTATCAGCCTGATATATAGCACTATCAGGAACAAAAATCATGGGAATCACAAATAAACAAATATTTTTGTTTACAGTGTTACATGAAACTAAATAAGATTGCTTAGAAAATTTTCCCAAACACCTCTGTTAAGACTTGTGTTGTTTTTGTAACAACATGCATGACGCAGTACCATAAGCTTTGTCCGGCCTAAGTAGTAGTGGGTATGTTAATTGTTAGGAAAATCGATACGTATGCAAAAAAAGTTACAAGCAAAACCAAGTACAGGCAAACACCACATATCCTTAATTCATCAAACCACAAGCGAACGCCAGCGTTCGCACACCTTTTGTGTTACTCGTGTCTCTAATTACCACTAGGTATTGAAAGGTTAAAAATAATTTCGATTCAACATGGCATGCACATAACGTGACAGTATAGAACAACGAATATAACGCCTACCATTCAGGGTTGACGACTAGATGTTACATTATATACTTCAGTTTATTTAGAAACTTTTTGTACCGTCCCTGTGTCCCAAATCTAATACCGATCCAAAAATGTTTTTCATAAAGACGCTGCGAACCTTTAGCGGATTTCAATAAACCTAATGTCGCATATTTTTCTGTTCAGGTTGAAGAGATACGAGAGATGATAGATAAGATTCAGGCGAACGTGGAAGAAGTGAAGAAGAAGCACAGTGCCATCCTATCAGCGCCGCAATCAGATGAAAGTAAGTTCCAATAGTCAACTCTATACTTTTATTATAGGTGTTAATAAATAAAAACAACTTACACATTAAGTGTGGGAGAGCCATGCCGACCCATTCGTGCCGGAGCACGAATGGGTCGGCTCGACCGGAGTGATACCACGGCCTCACAGAAAACCGGCGTTAAACAACCACAGTGTTGTGTTTCGCCGTGTGAGTGAGGTTACCGGAGGCCCAATCCTTCCCCTTCCCAATCCCTCCCCAGTTCCTAAATCTCCAAATCCCTAATCCCTAAAAGGTCAGCAACGCACTCGTAACTCCTCCGTTGGGGGTGTCCATGGGCGGCGCTGATTGCTTACCATCAGGTAATCCGTCTGCTCGTTTGCCGACCTATTACATAAATAAAAAATAAAAACTTTGAACTACTACGGTATAAGACTATGGAAGTTGTAAGCCAGTTTGGGACTTTGTCATACATAATCCTTGTTTGATATACAAGTTTATAGATGACTAGCGACCTTCACTGCTTCCCAACACTTCTGCTCAGCTCCTATTAATTGTAGCGTAATGAAAAGTATCCTATAACCTGCCCAGGAATATGAAGCATAATTATGCTAAGTTTCGTTAAAATCTGTCAAGTGGTTTTTGTTCTTATAAGGAACATACAGACAGACAAAAATTTTATTGATTGCATTTATGGCATCAGTATCGTTCACTTATCACCCCCTGATAGTTGAAAATATATTTCATGTACAGAATTGACCTCTCTACAGATTTATTATAAGTATAGATGAATATATCTAAGTTCGAACGGTATAGTGGTAGTTCCACCTTCTCAAGGCTGAGATTACCTTCATTGAACGAAGTCGTAATGACACCTCTTAAGGGTCTTATTAAATCCATTACGTAATGACGGGCTGCGACGGCAACCCATTGTGAGCGTACTCAAAAGACCGTGAATACACGCGTTTCTTTTGTTTTTCTGTATTTTATGGCATGGAAGGTAAATTAATATATGTATTAAGTGTTCAAATATATAAGTTATTGACCGCCAAGATTAAATTTCCAACTTTAAAAAATTATTTGACATTTCCACGAAAAATATTTTACCATTTGTCGCGGTAAAATAACAAAACATAGTTTCATACTATCGCCCCCATTCCTCCCACTTGTTCAATGAATCTCTTTGAAAGTTGATTATCTAAAAATAAATATTTTCCTCCATAGACTGCCATGGTTATTGGTATTGCTGTAGCTATGCGTGGGTAGGTTCCAACTTAGCTCGCAGTATACCCACACATTAATTGAAAGGGCGAAGTTGGTGGCATTTGCGTAGACGTGGGGGCGGTCTATCTGTCTGCTTTTCATGGGAAGCTGTTTACATTGTTCCAATGAAATGACATTTGCCTGCATGTAATTGAAGCTATGAAAATTATATATAACATACAGTCAAACACACAAATGAAACATATTTTAATATGTTATCCTTCTTTCTGCAACGTGTTTTGTATGTACTATATTAATTAACGATTAATCAACGCAACAGTCCAATCGAATTCGTTTATACTTTTATCTAAAACAAAACAACATACCTACAAAGTTATGTTTCTGAAATGTTTTCGTGTTATGTATGGCAGCAAAATGAATTAACGATAGCTTTGTTGATTTTGTCGCGAGATTAGTTCGAATTTATTCCGTCGTCGTTGGCTCGGCTTCAAATACTTTAGCAGTTTCCACTCTGTTTATATATTTTGAGCTTTAATTAAAAGAATTCCTTGGTGTACTTTCCATTATAGCGGGTTGACAGTCAGAAATTTTAATAAAGCCCATACTTTCTGATAATATTTTATAGAGGGCGAAGTTTATGTGCATTATGTCTTCAAAATTGATGTTTATGTATAATAACATTATTTTTGGTATACACGGCACCTATATAGCAGTTCACTCGACAACAGGGGACCCTCAGCAGGAGCGTCACGAATAGCCCCGATTAGCCATTGACCCGACCTAAATAGGACCGAATAAGCCATCGTTTCTGTCGTTAATATCGAACAAGCTCACGATAACAGTTTATACATTTATTGTAATAAAACATTCCAATTTGTACCTTCAAAACTTGGCAACGCGATCGTTTCTACTCCAAAGTAATTCATGCGTAAATCGTTGAAGTTAATAGGAAGTGGATGTGCCTTATTATAAAGTTACACTTTTCGGTTTCCGTACTCCAATAAGAAATATCTTTTAATATTATCAGTTAAATGTAACCGGGACTTAGAGCGAGAAATGTATCATTGGATTTGATTTTTGCAGTTTTTTAGTCCCTAACTTTTTAGGTTTTGAAACATTACAACAATACGGTAGTTTCCAACTAGTCAAATTCAGTACTTATCCAAATTTCAAAAACGACACTTTTCTATGAAATTTGTAATTAAGCAACATTCGATGTTTCAATACATATTTTATTGTATTGAAACATCGAATTAATTTATTTTTAACCTAGGAAATTACCCAATTATAGGACCATTCATTATTGCATACTTGTAACTAGGTAATTTGCTACAATTGCAGATACGAAAGCAAATCTATGTTTTTTCTCATGTTATTGTAACCTTCTGAAGTTATACAAATTGATGCAACATGTTGATGTATTTACCGATAAATTTTCTAAGAACGTCTGTATTTCATTCCCGTGGGACCGTAACTTGCTCCATTTATCGCATCATGCGGACTTACATACGTATAAGCTTGGCAACCTGTAGAAACCTTTATAAAAGGTTCACGTACATTTCTAAGAAAATATTTGTGAAATATCTTATTACGACAAAAGAAATTCACTTTAATACCCGACAGATATAATCCTCGACAATTTTAAGTTCATAAGCACGCTGTTAAATACGTAAACTAAGATTTTCCGTTGTCAGTAAGTAAATCGCGTCTGTATCAGTCCCAGAGTGGGTGAGATTGTCAGACGCTCGCCCACTTATTGATATACAAAAGGCGAACAGTGGGTGTATTATACACCCTCTGTCTATCACCTCGAAAAAGAAAAAAAGGCAGAATATTTCTCTATAATATTATGCCAACAAAAATCGCTTTATCATTACTGTGTTATACGTCGAATTACCTTTTAATTTAGAACATCCATTCTACATGAAGGAAAATAAAGTTGTCGGCGAATGAAAGAGGCAAACAAGTCACGATTGATGGTGTGGCTATGAATGAGCTGTGTGCTCAGTGAATGAAATCGATCTGGTGTGAACGAGACGCTTAACTGCAGGTGATACATGTTGAACATCGCTCGCCGTGCTTTATCGCGTTAACGAACCTTTACATTTTTCACTTTTAATTACGACATTCGTAACTCATTTGTAAACGAAGGAGCTAAGTTACAACGCAATCTTGTTGAAGTAATTATACACTGTAATTAGTAATTATGTTATACCCATTATGTTATAGCGTCTATTTTGCACTTTTATGTGTATAGTATACCTACCATTGTTACCATGCACAAACATTATTACTACAAGGTGTAGACGTACTACCAATATCTTTAAAGATTCTACCAGCTATCATAGCTATACTAAAGAGTCTATACCATGTCTTTTTTTTTCTAAACTGTAAGAAGTTTCTCTGAGTTGGTACGGACTTTTATATGATGAAAGCCAGTACCTACGTTTCTAAAGTTCAGTTAGATAAATTTGATAGAAGTAACATATTCTTATACCAACGTTATTTTACTCTGTCATAATAGGTATACATAAAGTACGAGTATAGAGAGAATCTTAAATCTAAAGAATAGAAGGGATCAACTTCAAAATGAATCGGCGGCGATACGAAAAATTGAATTTCCTTTTAGAAGCATTTTTTGCGTTGTCTACACGAAGCGGGCCAGGTAAATTATTTCAATGGAATTCTTTCTTCAATGAAAAGGAATTTTAGAGATATTTTTGTGCTCTACATAAAACGGTTTTCGTATTCAGCGGTGTGCACTTTCTGACTTAGTTACTAGGTATACAATGTGTGCCCTCATTTTTATAAGCATATTTTTGTTTTAGATTAAATTTTTACGTGGACCAAGTCCAATTATGTTTTATCCATAAAATCGTTTATACATGCAGTAATGTACGTACTAAGGTGGCATCTGTAAAACAATATTTTATTGGGTTTTCAAAAATTCTTACACTTAAGTGACTAAATACTCCCAAAATGACCCGACCTTTGAGCTTAAAAAGGATTCCAGCTCCGGCGGCAGCGGCGTTAACTTTTAGAACATAATGCTAGGCAACGGCAGGTGATAATACCCCACTAGGGATTCCGCTCTGAAACAACATTGCCGAGAAAGTGCCGTCTACGCGCGACAATTTGTTTTATACATGTACATATGTCTGTGCAGCATATCCCCTAGAAATTCAGTATTCAAGTCAAGTAAAAGCTAACTCAATATTCAGTAACACACACAAATTTATTCACGCTTTCACACCAAACACTTTATACATATTGGCTGCAACTTGTGCCAAATATATACTTAAGGGACTAATCTGTCGTATAAGCGGTCACGATTATATTATCAATGCCTAAAAACTATTGTTTTTCCTATCTTGTATTAGTCACAGTTTTGGTAAATATCGACGCCCTCATTCATTCGTTCGAGGAAGTGCAATTTCCGCCACGTGGTACTTACACAGGAAAAGTCGTTATGGTGATGCCTCAGGATATCGATCGCGATACCGAGACACATTTCATGAAACGAAAATGATACATGATCTTCGTTCGAGTTGTACTAATGGAAAATGAACAAATATTTAAATAGGTAACGAAAAATCTTTTTAAAACGTTCCGCTAATTTGATATTCAAGCGAATGTGTCTCTCGAAACAACAAAAGAAACTATTTCAAAATGATCGAAGCCATTTGTAGCAGACATTTACTTAGTCATTATCCTGTTACGTTTTCAATACGTTGCAGATTGTGCACTTATCCCATGAACTATATTGCTAATTGTATTGCTCCCCTTCTCTGAGCAGCCATAAGACTTGGATGCCGGGTTGTTATTAAGCCGATTAACCTCTACAAGAGACGTGATCACGTAGAAATGTCACGTAGGAACACCTACTTTGATTGATGTCCAAATAAACGTGCGTACAAGATATTCGGTCGTGGTCTGTATTGATTGAATGTTTATTTTTAGTTACTTTTTTGGTTTACTTGAGACTTAACGTAAAACAATGTAGTAGTAGAATAACATTCACCAGAAAGTGAATATTGCTTCTATAAAGTATAATTAACCTCTTCTGTCGCTGTTCTTCAGATACTTGAAGAATATTGAACTAAAATAAAATACAAGCCGTGTGCTAGAACGTGTTAAATATTTATTTAGCCTACGCAAATCCAATTCACTGTCCGTTATATCAAACTATCGATCGTTTTGGCGAATTCGATTACTAGATACACAATTAGAGCACCCACGTGACTCGGTTCGCAATCAAACTGAAAATTATATTATATTTACTAGATAACGAGTTGTTTTATGCATGAACCACCTGACGTTTTAAACTTGGTGCAGCTGAATAAAACAATGTTTATTTTATTCAAGAGATCGCCGTGGCTGTAACATTTTCTGAACAAAGCCTATTTTATTTTTCAGAAACAAAGCATGAACTGGAAGATCTCATGGCCGACGTTAAGAAAACTGCCAACAAAGTCAGAGGAAAGTTAAAACGTAAGTTATAGCCATAGTCTTTAGATAGTGTTTATCTTTATTTAATTTATTGGACGTCTGGTGTTGTGTGGGACAGCTCTGTATTCTCGTTCAACAAATCCACAGACATAGAGCAGAACATCGAGCAGGAGGAGCACTCTAATAAATCGTCAGCGGATTTGAGGATAAGAAAGACACAGCACTCGACGCTGTCGCGCAAGTTCGTGGAGGTGATGACGGAGTACAACCGCACGCAGACCGATTACCGAGATCGCTGCAAGAGCAGGATACAGCGGCAGCTGGAGATCACCGGCCGCGCGACCACCGATGACGAACTCGAGGAGATGCTTGAGCAGGGCAACTCGGCAGTATTCACACAGGGGGTTAGTATATATATACATAGTCCTATTTGGTATGTCTGTTCTATTCTCATACATATTTGTGTTGCAGATACTTAAAGTTGAACTAAATGCCTTAGTTTAACAGTACAGAAAGTGTCAGCATTTTTTAATCGAAAGAAAAATCCGCCTTTCAGCGTGAAGAGCAAAATGTCTGTTCAATTTTTCTCTCATTTCATATTTCCTCACGCTCCACGTTCCAAACTTCTGAACCTACTAACCCCTAAAGGATTACCATTGTAACTCTTGCCAAGTTGCAGCACTAAATCAAAAGTTGACAAATTGCCTGCGGGAGATACGCCACATTGCCAAGCCTTTGCGGGAACACTTTGAGAACTGTATTGTGTGAAGAAGGGCATTATTACTCAGGTGTGACGTTATCTGAATATGTGGGGCAGTTACTCACACCACACAACGTTTCCGTTCCAAACTAGACAATTAAATTGTATACATTCTTCATATTTTACAATTATTTCGTCTGTTATTAATGAAATGTTGAAGCTAATCGCAAGACTAAACAGATTGGTATTAAAAATATATGTATATTATGACATTTAAACCTTAAAGAAAAGGTTGTAGAAGGTCATTGCCCAATGACCATAATGGTAATATTTAAATAAATCGAGATTTAATCAACGTATTTCTTATTTAATTATGAAACTAACATTTCTAAACTGATATAGATCTTAATACTATAAATGTACATGCTAGAAATATGTGGAAATTTATATAAGTAACAAATAGTAACATATTTTGTAGCTGTAACAAATTGTTAGATCATTGTTCACGAAATTATGAATACTATAGTAATCCATTTCCTTTGAGTACCTTATAGTTCGCCTAAAGACATTTCTTTAGGAGATTCAAGGGACGTTAGCTAGAATTGTTAAGTCACTATGTACGACTTAGTTTATGAGAATCTATTTATAATTCAACAATCGATAAATTACTATATAAACTAACGTTTTAACTACACGCTGTGTGCTCTGTGTGGGAGAGACATGCTTGGGCACGAATGGACCGGCTCGACCGAAGTGTGAGATGAGACCTTTGTATCTCACAGAAAACTGGCGTGAAGCAACATATGCGTTGTGTTTCGCCGAGTGAGTGAGGTTAATGGAGGCCCAATCCTTCCCTGCTCCTCCTATCCTCAATCCTCTAACTTTAAATCTCTAATAAATCCACAAGAGGTCGGCACCGCACTTGTAGTACTCCTTTGGTATAACGAGTGTTTATAGGCGACGCTGATTGCTTACCATCAGGTAATCCGTCTGCTAATTTGCCGACCTATGAAATAAAAACACTTCTCTAAAAATCATTTGATATTTATTTATTTATTAATACTTCATGCACAATTTGATATGTACATTAGGCGGACTTAATGCATTGCCCATTCTCTACCAGTCGACCGAATTCTACAATATTTCTGTTCAATTCGTGAATCTTTAATCCAGTGTCATTTGATGAATGTGGAATTGTTATTATTTATGCTGTTTTATTACATGATGCCAACGTTAGCCGTAACTGCATAGCAATGAGTGCTGTCCTCTGATCAGTAATTAAATAATCAATAGCGTGCAATGCAGTAAAATGTTTCGGCTGAAAATACATTTACAAACTCGTGCGAGTCTATGTGAAGCTATGTCGATACAGGCATCTATATTTACATTAATAGCTACGTATACATTTTCCTACAAGAATGAGTAACTATAGTACTAGTTAAATAAATGTAGGACCTACACAATACTTCACAATATTTATGAGCATACCTTCTCATACGAAGTATTATCAGCTCTAACTAAATCGAAACCTCCTTACATTATATTATACACTGTTATTAACAGTTTTATATTATTTTATACCGGCTTCATCTAGTTTTTCACATATAAATTGACGTGTAAAAGTGCCGTTTTATGGCCTATTTGCAAAAATAAATTCATTGTTTCATTGTTTAATTTTAAAGATGATGTCATAGAATCCGCAAAACACGGAGCTAACTTGAATATTTATTCTGATTATGGTGATTGGCATTTTCCAGATAATAATGGAGACCCAGCAGGCGAAGCAGACACTGGCCGATATCGAGGCGCGGCACGCCGACATCATCAAGCTGGAGACTTCCATCCGCGAGCTCCACGACATGTTCATGGACATGGCGATGCTAGTCGAGAGCCAGGTCAAACGCTACACAATGCGTTCTTACTTATTCACCGGTTTACGCTCACAGAAGTTGTTGCAGACAACTAAAACTAAACTTACTTAACTTAACTTAGAGAAAAGGCCATTTGAATTCGTTAATTTATCAGAAGACTAAGTTTTGTAAGAGAGTAAATCTGCCTGCAACAATAACTGAAAGCGTTACTATAGGTTTCCTAACATACAGTTCTGATCTGATACACTCACAGTCTGATCCCGAGACGTAGAAAGTAGTTTGGTAGTAGTTTCCCCGTAGAAAGAAGATACTAACTCGTTTCTATGGATACAGGGAGAGATGATCGACCGCATTGAGTATCATGTAGAACATGCTGTGGACTATGTCCAAACTGCCACACAAGACACTAAGAAGGCCCTTAAATATCAGAGCAAAGCCCGACGGGTGAGTGATCATTTCAATGAAGATTCATTCTTTACTAATTTGTTTTTGTTTTGTTTCTCCCTGTCCCTCGTCCGGCTCCCGTCCTCACTCCGACATTGTGACTCCATTTTGTTTCATTGTGTATGATTTGATTCGTTGAACCTGCATTTTGTTAATGATGAGACGGTGATTGGTTCACTCGTGTTTGTGTTTTCATTCCTTCCATTAATGTGTCTACACTATGTGCTTTGACTGTTGTGTTCATTCGGCTCAACTAACAAACGGTTGAAGTGGGCTTTCTTACCTAATCTTGTACCTTACTCTGTGTATTTACTAATCTATGACTTCATTGGTGTGTGCGTAATTTGCCTTTTGTATATGGTCGTCCTTGTTATATAATAACTGTATATTACTAATCTCTAACATGTTATTATGTAACAACTGTTTGGTGTATCATAAATAATGACTGTCATAAACTTACAATATATAACATACCGTGCAATTACTAGGTTAACACTGAATGTCATTACATTGTAACACGTGTCCGTTTGTGCTTTTAGTTTTATACTTTTATCTAACTTCGTCTATAGGAATTTATGCTGTGGCTAATGAACGGGTTTAATACACCTAATATAACTCTATATAACTACCTATTAACGTTTCGCTGCAGCTCCACTTTGGTCGGCTCCTGTAACACGATATTGACTATGGGGATTTGTATAAAATCGTATGAACCAATCGTCCGTGGGTGTCGCTAGCCGCGGTACGTTGTCGCGTCCCTCCCCTCCCCGCGCCGTCCCCTTAGCACAGCAGGGCGAGCTCATAGATCGCATCGAGTACCATGTCACGCAAGCCACCGACTACGTCGACTACGGCCGCGTCGAGATACGCAAGGCCGGCGAGTACGCCGCCAAGGCGCGGAAGGTAATGCTACACATACAAACTAAACCACGGCTCAGCCGCCGCCTGTTACTAAACTGCGAAACCCTACAACGTTTCTACTACTGTACGGATCTTGGGGGTGAGGCGCTACCTAACAGAGACTTGTCAAACAACTTTGGGCCACATCTGTAACGTGCTGTCGACTGTCTACCACAACTGACTTACTTATATTATAATTTTCATTTGCATACTCAAACTATAATTGCATATTTTAATCGACAACAAATGTCCTATTGAAATTGCGTTTCTAAAGCATGTTGCATGATGAAAGCCTCTATTACTTTTTGATCGAGAATATAGATTCAAACTTCTGAAAGAAATCAAACATTTTCATTAAAGTTAAATACCAAAATCCCCTCTAACTCAGGCATAAGGAAATTATAAAGTTTGTTTTGCACTTTATGCATTTTGTAAACGATGGAATGTTATGTGACTCATACATACGAGTTATATTTGTTTATAAAAGTGACTGGCTGCACGGTTTGTGTTTATATTTGACTGAATTAAAATGAAATATAAACAGTCATGTAAAACAGCTTTCGACGCAACTCATTGTCATGATATCAGAATACGCTGAAATTATCATTTTATTAACTTTTCAATTCCTATAAATGTTAAAAGAAAGATGGGAATTGGAAAGTCTGTTTCCTTCCTTCCACTATGACTTTTTATTAATTTAAACATTATTGTTTCAACTTTTTGTGGCGAAGAATATTTATGTGTAGTAAACATGCAGTAATAGTCATTTTCGTGTGTAAAAACACTGATATTTAACATGCATTTAGGCCGCATGAAACATTATGTAACGGAATGAAGGAACTTGCATTGCATAAATCTAGTTCACAGCTTACTGCCTCTTTTGTACCATAGAGACTTGGTGTCGTAAACAAGGTCGAATACAGTTGTTTTTTTTTATTCGCAAGAAACCTTCATGGTGTTTTTTAATAAGTTCTGTTTAGCCTTCATTACAACCAGCATTGTTTTCAATTTCAAGTTTAGAATCATGCCGTATCCGGCCTTGTATCGTGTTGGTGACGGCATATTATGTGTGTAGTGTTGTCACTTGCTTCCGGTGTTGATAGCAATTTATATGTGAAACATGAATCGGCTAGAATTTTGAGTGAGTCAATATGTAACACATATGTATTATATTAAACTCACAAATTCCCTTTTTTATTAGAAAAAACAAATCGCTGGTTTTTCTGAGGATAAAACCTATTTTCAAGAGAGGCAATACATGTGCTCCTAATTTTTCTTGACTAAATAAACTATTATCTACATCAATGACTAGTTTCTTTCTACAATGGTTTACATTGACTTCGCTTAGTCTGGTCTATTTATGGTTACAATGATTATGTAGGTTGTCCGTTTCATTTCTTTCCACTTAACATTAAAATGTAAAAATCAAACCATAGTATGATGTAAGTATCATCATCCATGATAGTATTGTCTTATTTTGATTGTAATACTACTGGCATGATATAAAAAAAATGACAAAAAGAAACTCATAAGAAAAAAAAAGTCGACAACCTTTTTTCTTTGCTAAAACTAACGAAATTTATTATTGAATTTTTAACCTTATTATATATATAGAAGAAGACTAAAGTTGTCGATTTTACTCGATATAATATTCATGGCAGCGATTTTATTTTGTTTTTCTTTTGTTTTTTATCATTACAGAAAAAAATCTTCATCATAATATGCCTGTCTGTTACGCTGGTTATATTAATAATAGTGCTCGCGATTGTCCTGAGTTAAACTTCGTGCGAAGACAGCCGGCTTGTGACGTCAGACCGGACCCCCGTGGACTAAGTGAAAGAATTCAGTTGGTTTGTGAGCACATACATCCAACATTGATATTCGTCTGTATACCATTGAGTCAAATGTAGACCCTAGCTACATTTAATACGATAATATTATCTGAATATATTTGCTTGATTATTTAATAAACACAGCAAGAATTGTTGTTGTAAATGTCACAACAGATATGCATGGATGTAGCAAATGCATTGTGTTTTAAGATTTATCAAAAAGGCTGTATTATGATATTATTATCTAGATTATTCTGCTTTATTCATTAATCTAGTTCATGTGCTGTTACGTTACACAAGCGTTATGTTACGAGTATAATCGATAAGTAAATAAAAGTTCGCGCGATGAGAAAACATTAGGGACAATCGTACGCAGCGCCATCTACAAGGTGCTATTTAATACAAGTTTGTAACACAGCCTTTTTGAGTACTTGAGCACCGTTGTATAATTTGATAATATAACTAAACAGGATTATAAACTCTTTTGCCGCCAAATGCGGTGAAGTTCGAAGACAATATGTGTAAAGTGCAATAATATAGATTGTGCTTTAGATTTGTAAGTTATTTAATATTAATATTAGCTTTACTGGTATTACCAGGCTGTCTTATATCATATAAACATATTTAATATTAATTGATGTATATAAGTATACAACTCAAGATTGTTTAGTCGAAACATCACAGTATACAGGGCACTATTATTGAAGTACACAATGTTTCTATTTGACTTTCTGCCCTATTACTATTAGCTACACTGAAATAAATAAATTAATATTCTATTGCTAAATAAATATTTACTAGCTTTACGCGGTTTGTTAACTACTTATTAAAGTTTATTTAATGCAGTTCGTTGGTGAATTTATAATATTTCTAATAGCTTTTTCTTTATATCGTTGTAAAGCTATTTGCTCGCAGATTATAATCTCTATATTTGAACACGTAAGAGCTATAATCGCACAAATGTTTTGACAATTTATAATGGTACAAGAACAGGAGTCAAGGTCAGGCACACTGAGTCCTCAACAAGTCAATATCAAAGATATAGTGACCAGTATTTTATCTAGATTAAGTTCTCATACTTATTTTTCTTAGTATTCATTGAGGCTTCTGTCTACATTATTTATTTCACTATACTTACCGTTGTACTCAGAGTCATTTAACGGTTACTTAAATCAGTCCGCAACAATAGTTGTCAGAACAAAATGGTTACTAAGGAAAGGTTAAAGTGATCATTAAATGTCTTAGAGTAGAGCAGTTTGTGAATTTAACTTGATATATTAATAACGATACTTGTAAAGTATTGTTTAGGTGATCTGTTCATTGTTTATGTACAGTGTGTGATGTAAAACTCTCTCATTCAATTGTTAAAAACAAAATCCCCCTTATTACAAAACAAGGTTTATCTTTAGTCCAGGTTTAAACCATTGAGTCGGGTTTTGAATTTTCAATCTTATTGTCATCTACTTTCAATTCGAAATACGAAAACTGGCTCAATGGTTAGTCCTAGACTAAAGTAAAACCTTGTTTTATAATAAGGCCGATTAGGTTTTCTTTTTGTTTAGTTGTTTCTATATTCCAATTGTTGTGTGTTCAGTCTTACTGGAATATTCTTTCCGGTGTATTCAGACAGTGAATATGGCACCCGTTTACTATTTACCTGTTATAACGTTTTTGCATTTATTAACAGCATTTTGATGATATTTTCACAAATTGAACATATACCTCTAGTTTATTTAAAACGTTGTTGCACCAAGTTGTGTAATATTTACGTAGCACAATTGTATAACTGTGATTAAATTGTAATATTCGTTTAGTTGAAAATGTAACAGTAACATCTTAGCTCAACTTTGCCGGTATATTTCACCTAGCTTGCGCACTTATTTATTTAATTAAAAGACTGTGAAATATAATTTAATGCCATTTTCATAATTATTGATGATTAATTACTTAATTATGTTGAAACCTTAATAGAAGTTATGTTTTATTTCTTAATATATCATAGGTAATAGATTAACGCCCCTCCATCAAACAGCGTGTTACAAAGTTGTTTATTAATTCTTATCTTAAAACTACTCATGTTGTAAATATGTTTATAATTTCGAAAATTACATTTATATTTATTATTTCAATTTTTATTTTATTTTTGTTTGAACACCTTATTTATGTAAGATGTGCAAGGCAAATGACGCACCCACCTGACTGTATCCGAGGAAGCCAATGACTACATAGTGCAGTATTGATGTATTTGTATGGTAATGCTATGTATAAGAGTTGAAGCGGCTGGTGCCGCGAGCCTCGTATAAAGCGTACTGTTGCATGGTCGGCCCCCACATTCGCGGGCTACAGAAGAAGATCATGATCCTAGTGTGCCTGCTCATACTGGGCATCGTCATCGTGGGCTACGTGTCCAGCTATTTCGTTTGAGCGGCCCCTCTCGTACTTCGATCGCCAAATGCTCAAAGGTAACCGAGCGTGCGGGCGAGCGAGCGGGTCCGCCCGCGTCGCTCGCCGTCCCCGCTAGTACTAATGTGTGTTGTGTTTGTCCACTGTGCAGAAGAAGATAATGATAATGCTGTGTCTGCTCGTGCTCGGCCTCATTGCGACTGGCTACGTGTATAACACATTCTTCTAAACGGGGCACGGGGGCAGGTTTGATGCGCAACATTTAACTGGGCTTTATAGACCGCATCCCTAGTTAGACTTACAAGACTTGAGTAGATTACATCATTCGATAAAGCCATGCTTTATTATTTAGACGCCGATCTAAACGATCCGCCATTATATTGGACACGAACAAAAAGTAAATTACATAATATAGAAATTGGGGTTTGAAATTTGCATGAGTCAGTTGCATACTAATATTTGATTAGGTTAATATTGTACTCTTATATATAGAATATTAATTATTTATATTTTGCTACTCGGAATATTGAGCGTATTTGCTGTAAGTTAAGTATTCGCTATTAGTTCAGGATATAATGACGACTAAAAATGTGCAATTAATAGGATACTTACAAAATTACAACACTATTCAAAATTATTCAATATGACACCGCAATTTTCCAATTTATGTATATCCTAAATTATATAAAAACAATATCCTGAAGTTGCCTGACCGCTTATTTTTTTTACTTTAAATAACTTACAATTTAATAAAGTTTTTCTATTTTATAATCCAGCACTTCTTTATATTTTCGCACCTTGTATTGTTTTGATGTTTACTCCTACCTAGTTTCATAACAATTTTTTCTCTACTCTATCAATAGGTTGATTCACTTCATTTAAATTTCTTTAGGTGTCATATGATTACATCTCAAATATCATACAACGCACATTACTTTACAGAAATATAATTTCAGCAATTGTCGCTGTTTTCCAAAAGGTGTGTAGAAATAGATTCTAAATTGCAATTTTTTTCTAATCAACGCGACAATTGCAAATATTTTCATCCAGAATCAAGGTTTCTAAAGACCCTATAGGTCGTCTACAACCATCTTGTAAAATATCTCTAGTTAATAATTAGGTTCCATATTAACCATATTTTAGGGAGAATCACTCATATTTTTTACCACAATATTTGTAGCCATAATAGGTATTTTATTAATTAGCAAACCAAGTAACAGTTTGCGATAATCCAGGCGGTCACGTAAGAATTCTAATATCTACCACTGCAGACATACATTCTCATTTATTCTTGATTTAAATCTGTCCTGAGATTATCGCTTTCCGTTTTCATTGTAAAAGTTTTAGTATAAAGTGCTTTAGTAAATAATGTTATCATAAATTTCCAGGACCGTCATGTCATAGCAAAGAAAAATCGTCGCGCATACTTCGGTGCCTGCATCCCGCCTGGCAACAGTCAACATTCTGCAACAGAGCGAATCATCAACACGTACCAACACCTCTTATTTGTTGTTAGAAGTTCGTCTGTAACACTCAAACTATATTCAATTACTCATCATCTGAGATACGTCATAGGAACATAATGTTGGATGTTATCGTCGGTAGTAACTATATACACACATACAGGCCGTACCCACACCAATGCCGCTGGCTCTAATACGTATATGTTTCAATAGCGTTCACACAAAAACAACTGTTTGTTTATAAAAAAATATACTAAATAATAGTTTAGTGCGCAATAATCAATGAATATACATATGTTAGTTATACGTACATTATATACTTAGTATCTACACGCATAACAGTATTTAGACTTTTAATAATCTCGGTTTCCACTATAATATTCCTCACTATACATATATATTTTAAAATATATGGATATATGATGTTTAGCCAGTGATAATCTGGACCGAGTAATTAACGGTTTTTTTTAAATTAAATCAGTCACAAAATGGTTGCCTAGACGCCATAAAGTGAATATAGTTTGTATTTATAAGTAAAGTGATACAAAGATTTGACAGACACCATAATTCATGTAATCGTTAAGTCTCAAATAATTTGTGTTTTATCGTGAATAGTTAACCTCGTTGATAGGTTAGAGGGAGGGTGGAGAGTAACGCCCGCGCACCCCCAGCTAGTGGTGGGCAGTCGGCAGTAGTGGGCGCGGGGTGCTGCGATATCGTTAGGTTCTACCTCACCATTAGTCGCGCGGCCGACACGTCCCACTCAGTCAGTGGTTGGTCAGTCGGTGGCCAGTCGGTGGCCAGTCAGTGGCCGCTCGCGCACTGCATATCGCGCCGGCGTGCCGTCGCCGTAGCAATAATAAAGTTCGATTACAATTGTAAAATTGTTTAAAACTTTCGAATGTGTGATAGTAGATGCAGTTGTTGTTTAGTTAACTTTATAATAATAATGAATTGTTATTGTGAATGTAACTTTTAATAAACAGTAAGAGTACTTTGAACTTTTCAAATAATACATAGTATAAACGACTCATTGAAATTTTTGGCGCTTTTCGATCAAATTTATAGTTGAGTGATTATAAATTTTAATTTGATACATTTTAAGACGCTCTTCGTTGTACAGTAATACATAATGTAGCTGTTTTAGCTAGGGTAACTTTTTTAATAAATTTGAAGTAAAGAATCTTCAGCAATATATGAATAGTTATTGAACAGTATTTTCCGTTTGTAATAATATATTGTAGAGTCACTCGAAAATTTAAGCACCAACATAATATATTAGCATTTTCCTATAAGAGAATAACGTTATAATTAAACGATTATCGCGAAGGATTATTATGTAGTCGTATGATATTATGCATATTGTTATTGTGTGGAGGAGCGGCCCGCGAGGGACAACGGCACTAATCCCCGCCCGCCTCGCGACCGCTCTCCTCTCTGCAGTTCATTACTTAAGAACATGAAGCAATGTTAATTTTAACATTTATAGCATAATTAGATTTTTATCCTTAAGAGTAGGATTTCATCTAGTTGCCTTCGTAACAGTAGAGAAATTAGGTGATACCTTTTCTCTGAGTAGCTTCATTAAATCGATGGAGGTCAGCCGCGTCTCCACTAGCCAGTCAATTGTCTCGCTTGTCTTCCCGCGGCCCCGCGGGCACGCGCTGCCTCCGCTAGTCGCGTCATGCTAGGTAAGTAAGTGACCGGTACCTGACACCAAGTAACGTTAGTGCTCCAGCGCGCCGCCGCGGTCCCCGCTACATCGCACAAGTCAGCGACCGCGGCGCGTCGCCATTGCCTCGGACGCGAAGCGTTCCGCTCGCTGTTTGCAAGGCGGGACCCTTCCGATCCAATCCTAATTTGTATGATATAAATCGTTAGAGTAGGTATAACCGAACTTCTAGTCAGCTTTTAATAATCTCTATTATTCTTATAATATCAATCGTAATATTGCAATCGTATCTTCTGTTACTAGTGTACATATAAGGACGTTCTCGTGTTCAAGTGCAGGCCGCGGGCCTGCTCGTTGGCGGGACGCGACACCTGTGCTCTTACAAACTCAATATTATCGTAAAGCATAGATATTTTCATAATCAATAGTATGCATATTGTTGATTGGATTGCTAATTTTGTATAAGTACGTACACAATTAGTATAGTTTATATACTTATGTGTCAATTCTCATAGCGTTTTATTACATAACAGACGATAGCTAGTAAGTGTTAAACGTAATCCAAAATGATTGCAGTGCTGTTTATTAAGCTTATTCGACTATTTTATGTTGTTTTGAATGAATAATGTTTTATTGAACTTGTATTCTTCAATCTTGAATGTGTATGTAATTGTATCACAGTTGAATATCTAACAACGGTATATAAACAATAGTACATGTCCAGTCTAATTCATTGACAACCCGTAGCTCTGTAAATTTAAATACCAAATTTCTCGGAACAAAGTAATGCTTGGTAAGAATTTTTAAAACAACGAACATTTTGAAATGTAATTTTAGGATCCCAGTGATGAATGCAAACTTTGTGAAAACAGTTTTCTATCGCCTAAAGTCTTCAATCAACATTTTTCCTAAATAGTTACTAATGTTACTTATTTAATGACAGAGTTGTATATCGTCTGTGTCATGTGAATATTCTTCCTGAAAGTCATTAGGTATTCTTATAAATAAAGGGTACCTTAGCAAACGAGTGTCTACCGGCTAGAGTTAGCTCAGCGAAGTAGGTAACGGGCCCGTTACTTATGTATCTGTTCAGCTAAAGTAATTATTAAGGATTTTCACCGACATGCGACACTGTGTACTCAAAGTACTCACAGAAACAGTATCTTGGTCTGCTTATATGCAAGCAATTACTTGTCTTCACTTCCCCGCGTGGAGGGAGAGCAGCTATCTACTTAGTGCTAGTTTGATATGTTGCGACCTGCCGGTAGGGGCTTGAGGTGCCCGTGTTTGCGGAACAACGCGCCCTGAGGAGGGGCGGCACTCAAACTAATATTCTACAAATTATATTGTTTATCAGTAGAGTCGCTAGACTTCAATTTGTAGTTAAATGTTCGTAATTATCAAATTTCCACAATTGTGCTTTATTCTTTCTGACTCTTTGATGTTGCTTGGCGTTGAATGATGTGAAACATTATTATAATATTATATTAGAGTTTATAATTTATTTTAAATCATGTTATTTTCATAATTTAGTTTAGACAAAATGTTAAAATAGTTTAGTACCGTTTTACGGATGTTTCTTGTACCTATATAAGTATTTCAGAATTTATATTAAAGTTGTATTTATTCCCTATGGCAAATTGTCTCATAATCTTCTTGTAAAGGAACACTGAATACCTAAGTCATTGTTATACTTACAAAATCTTGTATTACGAATATTACAGTGAGATTCTGGACACATGTTAAATTCAAGTTAGATTGGTTTTATAGTCATATTATATTCTGTATGTAGGTTATCAATCTGAAATTCTCTCATAATTATAAAATAAACGGTGTTTTCTGCTGTATGAGTAGTTTTATTTGTTGAAAAATGGCAACATGAATAAAAAAAATTTTCTATCGTCTTAAAATTATACCGCCTCTTTTTAACCTACTGTTAAAACACCCATGAGAGATGTTCAAAGGATTGGAAGGGAATATAATTCACTTTAGACTCCGTTGCAGCAAACACTCGTAAGAAAAATTGCTTAGAAATCACCATCCTTACATCATAAGCATATTGATACAAATTGCAATATTCTGAAATGTTAGATTTTAATGATTATACTATCTACCTACATTGAATCATTTTATTGTGCCGCTATAGGTAGCAAGAAAGTCTAACAGTGCGAAAGCTATGCTTCGACACTAATGATCCGGAGTACTTAGTGCGAATTTTGCTTTACTACACATTTATGGCCCTTGGTGTTGGCGTTCTCTTTTCATCACCATCAGCCTATAAGTGCCCACTGCTGAGCAAAGGCCTGTTCTCACATGCAGAAGGTTTGAGCATTAATCACCACGCTTTTTAAACTCATATTAGAAATTACTACTCTTTACCCAAAATACGACGTTTTCCTTCACCTTATATCAGTTGTGTCTAATTTATATTAGAAAGTAAGTATATACACCTCTGAAAAGCCACATTGGTACTGGCCAGGTTTCGAACCCGCACCCTCACGCATGAGAAGCGGGCGCTTTAACCTCGGGCCACCACGACTTAATTGATTGGCTTGCTCCAAATTAACTAACCTATCACAGGGCTGCAGGCATGGCCAATACAAACTGGCATTAAGCAATCAAATCGACCGGATTGATACCAGTGGCCAAACCCGCGTTGTGTTTTGCCATATTTATTGCAAACCCAATTCCCCCATCAAATATAGGTAACTCGTCCTTAAGTGGTGCGGCTGTCCATAGGCGGCGTGGATTGCCCACCGTTAGCTAAATCGTCGGTCCCGAATAGTCTGGATACGAAGAACAATTCGATTTTATTGGGCGATTGACATGACCCGAGGACCCAGAGCTGTTGTAGAGTTCAATTTCCTGAAAAACTAACTAACAGAAGTCAAAGTTAAGTTATTTGAGCATAAAAAAGTTAAAAATACATTTTTTCCTATTTATGTGTATTATAATAAATAATATTAAATCGTCCATTAGAGATAAAAAGCCCTTCTGTCAGCGGCCTAATCCGCGTTACTAAGATATAGAAGTAGTATTTGTTATTCCAGATTATAATCTATGCCTCCATGAGTTTTTATCAAAATCTACGCAGTAGGTAACGTAAAAGATTAACAAACATCTATCTACCATATGTTACTTAGAAACTTTCGCATTTCTGTTGTTATTAGATATGTTGTAAAATGTATGAACAACACAAAACGCGAGCTTCAAATTCATTGTTGAGCTTAAAGCGACCGGTGGCCCAAATTATATAGTGAAACAAGGGATCCCAATGACTTGACCAATGACGATAATTTTAAAGGGTGTCTGAGAATATAAAAACTTGGCCAGCCCTCACATCTCTAACTTGGCTACTTGTCTTTGCTTCCATTAGCATCAGACCCTATGGTCATGTCAAACAAGAATTGTCAATGTCAAATAATGTCAATATCAACTATTTGTGATTGCTTGTTTTAACGTGTTTGCAAGTTGCAAAACTTTATTTAATTGTATTTTATTTAAAAACCCGTGTACATAAGCTGTTAAAATGAATGCGCCACCAACATTCGAATCATTTCTCTTATACGATGGAGAGAAAAAGTAAGAACAATGTTTCTAAATTGTACTTAAACTTGATGTGGTCACAGAGATGGTATTGTATTTTAAAATACTTACAATTTTAGGGTCCAGAAAGAAGAAGACACAAAGGTGACCAATGCGGCTATATTCACGGTTAACAAGGAAGATCACACACTTGGCAACATGATCAGGCAGTATGTATAGAAAATCTCTGTCATAGTAAAGTTTGTATATCAGCTATTATTGAGTAGATATTATTTATAAAAATTGTTTTACAGTCAACTGCTAAAGGACCCAAAAGTCTTATTTGCTGGATACAAGGTACCTCATCCACTGGAGCATAAGTTTGTGTTGCGCATCCAAACCACATCGGATTACACTCCCCAGGAAGCTTTTATGAATGCTATTACTGACTTAACCTCTGAACTATCACTGTTCGAGGAGAGATTTAAGGTAAATACTTTTTTCCCTAAATACTTACTGATATCTGTCATCATCATTTTCACCATATTTTATCTGTACACATCTGAACATAGGCTTCTTATACAGGGTTCTGATTGCCTCAATGTTCATTTGTTATTTTGTAGATTTTTTGTAAATATCTACCTACAGTTGCTACTGGTTAAGACTTCATACATACAAGATTCCAACATAATTATGACTGAGTTTATTAAATACATATCTCAAGTTTTTGTGCGGGATAGCCATGCATAGGTACAAATGGCTAGCTCATCCAGAGCAAACCGCAGCCTCACCACAAAACCAGTGTAAAACCACATTTACTTTGTGTGTGAATATGGTTAACATATGACTTAGCCTCTACCTCTCCCATCCCCAAGTCTGAATTACCCAAATTCTCAATCCTAAAGTCCAGCTCCACATTTCACATGTAGCTTACCAATGTTGTGGGATGCACTGATGGTGTACCATTAAGTATGCCTCTGCTTGTTTGCCAACTTATTCCAAGAAAAACTATGTTATACTATGACTGTTATGTTATGCATAACATAAATACTTGTTACATGATCTTCCTAGATTACTAAATTTACTTGTACTTGTTTCAGGAAGCCATAAAGGAGAAGAAAGAAGGTTTAGACTAAATAAATTAATATTTTTCAGATAAGATTATGAATAAGTAATATTGTAATAATAAAATAAAATATAAAATGATTTCAAATATTTATCTCTTTTTATTAGGGATCCTCAATGAATTCAACAACCATTATAATTTTAGAAAAATTCCTTGTGGATTTTTTTGCAGTGCAAAGATTACCATTTCATAGATATTGAAATTCATAATATTCAGTATAAAATGGATAAACATATGTGATGAGTGAATAACATGTGATGTGCCATCACAGTTACATTAAAATTATTCAATGGGCCTCATACACCTTTAAAAGGTCCAGGATTGTATTATTCCGTGAAAGTAAATTAACCTTAAACTAGAGGTTATAACAAAAGAAAACAACATAATAATTAAAATTTAATTTATTGTTATAAAACTGTTATATTTTGGTGTTCATTTAATTATTTAAAAAATAAATAAAACAGGTTGCAATAGTGTTATTGTAGAATCATGATTGTGATGATGTAAGACCAATTTGTGCCATAAAAGATCATTTCTCAATATGCATTATACCAGATAATGCATAAGAAAAGTGGATAACCATTCACCTAATTATGAAAAATATAACATGCAATGATTCGCTTAGTGGTATACAAGATCAAAGGTACTTATTTACAAATATTTACCTATAATATTAACTATAAAACAAGTGATACCATGCCAATGGTAAACAATAATAAATAATAGCCAACTAAAACATGTAACAACAATAACGGTAACATTAAAACTAATCCGTCAATAAATAGGCTAATTAGAAAGTTTCCTCTTCATCACAGTTCTCTGTTGCGTGGCCGAATACTGGAAACATAAAAACTCGTTCACTATGTGGACACTGCGTCCTGTTAGTAAACTTAAACTAAACGTTTTGTTAGTGATCAAAAATTTCAAATCAATTCATATTAAGTTCCTGAAAACTTCAGATACTAATGGACTCAGAAAAGGTAATACCAATTCATACATGATCGTACTACAAGTACATTTAAATTGATTTAGGTGTTCCTTTCTTCGGTGGGAATGTTTACCTTCACAGATATCGCAGTAGGGTCGCGGCGGCGGCGCAGCGCGGCGGTTGGTGGGCGGCAGCGGCGCGTCAGGCTCGCCTGCCTGCTTGGGACAGTCCTCCGTGTCGTGTGCGTCGAACACGTCACAGATGTCACAGAACAACCGCGGAGCCACAGCACGAGCCTTACGCCCATTGCTATAAAGAACATTTTGTTTAGTAAAGGATGATGGCTCAACGGAATATCTATATTGTGTTATTTTGTTATGTGTCTGCTATAGATAAGGTACCGTTAAACTTACAAAAGAACAGGTTCATTAGGAACAGTTCCGCCTTCGAGAGCCTGTACTCTTGCCATGAGCTGTTCGTTCTTGCGCTGCATGTCCACTATAACGGAGTTGAGGAAGCTGACTTGACCATCAATCATCTCCTTGTCGTCTGTTGCCCTGTACAAATGGAATGTTTAGTTTACAGTTCCAATAACGGCAAATTTTTATTTATTTGGAAATGCACCTAATTAGTCTAGTTCTGATACTTACTTTTCAGAAGCTGAATCGCCTTGTCCTAATACTCCCATAGCATTGTTGTCATTATTATCTCGTACGTCTTTGCCCTTAGCTGCCATTTCCTTTTGCAGAAGAAGCTTTTCGCGTTCTACAATTTCTATTTTGGCTTTGTTGCTCTGAAAGGAAAACAATTTTTTTTTTGTTTTTGCCAACTCATTATCTAATATATTTCTGAGTATTTTTTCTCCACTTACCTTAACTTCTTCTTGCAATTTGCTAATCACATCTTCTTTCAGTCTCAATTCTTTAACTTTATTATCTATATCAGCTTTAAGGTTTTTGACTAAAGTCTCGTTCTTAGCTATTGTTTCGGTAGAAGATTGTTTAGCTAATTGTAGTTCTACAGTCAATTTCTCTAACTGTTTGTCCTTCTCCACATCACTACTTTGCTGAACTGCTACTAATTCTAGTTTCTGAGTCAGTTCTAATATTTTATTCTCTGCTTCTGTTAATTTCTGTTGCATTTGATTTTGTTTTTCTATTTCAGCTTCAACTTTTTCTTTGGATTCTTTTAATTCTTTTTCATAATCAACTAATGTTTTCTTCAGGTCGTGTCTCGAGCGCTTGCTTTCTTTCTTGTGTTCGTCAAACTGCGCTTGTAATTGCTTATTCAAGTCCTCGTAGTTCAATTTCTGCGCTTCGTTAATGTTCGTCAGTTGTTTGATATCTTGTTCAGACTTTTCAACGAGGCCTTGTAGTTCTTTTAATTTTTCTTTTGTCTGTTGTAGCTCTTCGAGCTCTTTAGCCTTTTCTGCCAACTGAGACTGTAAAGTTTTTGTAGTATTGCTAAGAGATTCAACTTCGGTTTTGTATGTTTCATTTAATTTTGCATTTTCTTGTTGAAGCTGGGCGACTAGTTGTTGAGTTTCGCTAGATCCTAACTGTAAGGCCTCATTCATCTTGGTTACCTGTGATTCTTTCTCTTGAATAGCAATATCTTTAGTTAATAGCTCTTGCTTTAACTGCGCTAAATCTGTTTCTAATTTGTTTATTGTTTGTAGATCAGTCTCGTGTTTTTCTGTTTGAGATTTTAGTAAATTATCCTTTTCATCCAAAGATTTCTTTAGATCACTGGTAACAGTTACGTTCTCATTCATTTTGCTAACTATTTCTTCATAGTTTTTCTTTAAAGCTGTTAATTCTGATAGCGTTTCAGTGTGCTTCGATTCCAAAGAAGTCTTTTCTTGTGATAATATGGATGTTTCTTTCTTAAGTACCTCAAGCTGGTTAAGTTGTTCCTTCAGAATACTTTCTTCGGCTGAAGAGTTTGCAATAAGGTTCTCGTATTTTTGCTTTAAAGAGGAAGTTTCTAAAGTAGCTGCATTCAACTTTTCCTCTAATAGTTTCTTAGTTTCAGTTGCCTTGTTTAGTTCTTCATTCACTAAAGCTATTTGACGATCCTTTTCAGTAACAATTTCTACATTAGACTTCAAATCAACTTCCAGCATTTCTAGCTTCAAACTAAGATCCTTTATATTGTTCTGTTTCTCTTCTAGAAGTTGCTTCACACGTGTTTCTTCCAACCTTAGTTTATTGGCTTCTTCAGAAACAGTGCTTAAATTATTTTGGAGCTGAGCTATTTCCTTCTCAAATTGTGTTTTTTGATTATCTAACTGAGAAGTCATATCATCTAAAATTTTCTGTAAACTGTCTTCGTGTTTTCTTGCTTCTTCAAGTTTGTTATTCAAGTCATTCTGCGCTTCAGTCAATTGATCTACTTTCTCCATAAGTTTAACTTCAGACGTAGCACCATCAGCTTTTAATATAGCTATTTCTTCTTTATACCTATCTATGTCTATTTCTAGTTTCTTACAAATGGACTCATGTTCACTATTCTGTTCACGTTCTTTAACTTTAAGTGCTTCTATCTCGTTCTTAAAGATAGTGTTCTCATCCAAGAGTTTATCGTTGTCTGCTTGAATGTTCCTGAAACGGTTATTGATTTCAAGGGTTTGGGCTTCTAATTCTTTGATTCTACTGTCTGCTTCTTTAAGTTTTTCTAAGTTATCATTAACGGAGCCTACTAACTGCCCACGTTCGACAGAGAAGTCTTCTTGAACCTTGAACAACTTTTGTTTTAACTCTTGTTCATTTCTTGCATGGTTGTTTACAACTTCTCTGTGTTTGTCTTTTATATCTTGCAATTCTTTTTCAGTTTCTTTCAAATGTTGAGATAACTTATTAAATTGCTCATTAGAATCAGTTGTTTGACCAGTCAGATTCATATATTCTTCTTCGATTTTATCTTTTGCCTTTTGTAACTCTGCACATTTCTCGTTGGCGCTTTCAAACTGTCGTTTGTATTCGCCAACTTCTAATTCCATTGCTGACATTTTAGCTTTAAGATCATTGTTAACTTGAGTCAAGTCGTTGATGGTTTGTTTTAATTTTTCATTTTCTTCTTTCAGAACTTTTAGTTCATCCACGTTTATATTGAACTGAGAATTTAATGCATCGAATTCTACTTTACTTTGGTCTAAAGTAAGCTTGTGACTCTCAATTTCTTTCAAAAGCTGCTCTATCTTAGTGTTACGATCGTCAATTTCTTTCTTATGTTCTTCAGCGATTTTGCTATGTTTGATGTTGAAATTAGCGGTTGTTTGTTCGAAGTCGTCTTTTAGTTTTATTATTTCCTTATCGCGTTCATGAATTGTTTGTTTGTATTCGCTGACAAGCTTTTCAGACGAACTTGTAGATGTGCTTAGTTCAGCTAGTAGCTTCTCATACTCCTTGGTCTTCGCAGACAGATTTTGTTGTAATTCCAACATATCAGTTTTGTTCTTCTCGTGTTGTTGTGAAACTTCACTTAACAAGGTTTCATATTCATTGACTTTGCTATTGTATTCATCTTTAACTCGGCCCAGCTCGTCCTGTAACGATTTGAATATTGCTTCTTGTTTCCTCTTCGAGTCTTCTAGTTGTTCTAAATCTAATATTTTAGCACTAAGTTCCATTTTCAATTTTGTAATTTCTTTGTTTAAGTTGACTTCGTGTTCCTTGCTCACGCCAACAACTGAAATTTCATACAAAAGAGTATAAATAAGTAGACTGAGTGCATATAAATAGCTGATATTAATGATTAGTAATATTATAGATATAGTTACCTTTATTCAACTCTAATGTTTTATCATCTACGGCAGCTTGCAGCTGAGTTAACTTAGTATTTAAGTCTATAATAATTTGGCTGTTTTCCTTATTTAATCTTTCTACATTCTGTTTTTCTGTCTCTAGTTTCGATTCAGCTAATTGCAGCTTAGCGGTTAGTACGGAGACTTGTGTTTCGAATTCAGTCTGAGCGATAGCCATCTTAGTTTTGGCTTCGTTTAGCGCCTTTTCGGAATCAGTCTTCAATCGAGTCAGCTCCTCCGTCATGCTTTTGCCCAATGAATCTTTTTCGCTTTCTTTTTCTTTAAGGAGAGCGTAAGCTTCATCTAGCAACTTCTGCAACTCTGACGACAAAGCTGGAAGATGTTAAAAAAGTGTTATATTAAGCGGATACTTAATGTTAGAGCTGCTTATTAATTTCAATTTATAAGTGTGACACAATGGCACATCTTTTTT